TAAGAGCATTTATCACATAGGGCAGTTATGAGCATAAAATGAGAACATTCTCATGAAAAAGAAAAAAAAAGACATATAAAAAAACAGTTCTAGAGACATAGTGGACACCACATGAATACTGGTTATTTTCATTATGTTTGTTATCTTCCTAATAAAAAATTACTATTTTGCTATAATAAACCACTCTTGACTGTGTGCTTACATACTGATGTAACCTTGTGCCGTTTGCTACCTCTCTTCGGCAAGAGCAGGAGCCACCCCCCGACTCCAGGGCACTTGTGAGAAGCACCATGGGGAGCATTACCCCTCTGCAGACTGGCACAGCTCCTGGGACAACCTCTATAGTCAGATGAAGTCCACGGAGAATTGAGATGTTTCCTAAGAAGGGAGGATACCCACTGAGGACTGAGGAGAATGAAAGGAGAATGATCAGGAGTGGAAATTGCCCATGGTGATGACAAAGTGTGTTAGTTACCTATTGCTGTGTAACAAATTATCCCAAAACTTAGCAGCAGCTTACAACAGCAAGCATTATAATCTTACAGAGCTTCTCAGAATGAGGAACCAGAAAAGTGGGATGAACTGGGTGGTCTGGCTCAGGACTTCTTGTGAAGTCACCATCAAGATGTCAGCAGGGTCTCCTCATCTGAAGGGCCCATTTCTAAGATTACTCACACATAGCTTGTCAGGTCCCACCACACAGGCCTCTCCACAGGCTGCTCTAGTGTCCTTCTGACATGGCCTCTGGCTTCCCCCAGGGGAGGGAACCAAGAGAGATTGGGAGGGAGCTACAAAACCATTTGTGATCTAGCCACAGATGGGGCACCCTGCCACTTCCACTAAGTAATAAATTCTTTAGAAGCAAGCTACTAAGTCCAGCCCACTCTCAAAGGAGAATTAAGCTCCACCTCTTAAATGGTAGAATATCAAAGAATTTGTGGACAGATTTTTAAACCACCACACACAGGGCGCCTGGGTGGTTCAGTGGGTTAGGCCTCTGCCTTCGGCTCGGGTCATGGTCTCAGGGTCCTGGGATCGAGCCCCGCATCGGGCGCTCTGCTCAGCAAGGGGCCTGCTTCTCCCTCTCTCTGTCTCTGCCTGCCTCTCTGCCAGCTTGTGATCTCTGTCTCTCAAATAAATAAATAAAAAATCTTAAAAAAAAATAAAACCACCACACATGATGTGTGACTTGGGACAAAATAACATTATCTTAGTAGTGTCAGTTTAATTTTCAAAAAGGTCCGAAACACAACTCCCACACAAACACAGAGTGAGCAATGTGCCAAAGATTTATCATTATTAATAAATGAAGGAACCAGCAGGATGATAAAGCTGATTCAAATGATATGATCAGTCAGGAAAGAAATAGTGGAATGGGTTGGCTGACTTAGATTTTAAAAAAAGACCTGCTTAATGAATTGCAAAGCAGTAAAACTGCACCTTCTTGGCCTATCTTTTCTTTCAGGCAGAAATGATTTGCAGTTTATCAAACAATCTCCTCTTAGTTCACATCTAATTTCACAGAGTCTGGTGTTTAATCCTCAGTCATCAATAAGCCAAAGGCATCTGTTTCCTAAAGAATTGAGTAATTCCTGATGGGGCCTCTTTGACCAAGCTTTAGTATGACATTGAGAGCACATGTGGTCACCATTTTGTTTTGTTTTCTTCTTCTTTTTTTTTTTTTAATTTACATTCTATCGGCCAACATATAGTCCATCATTAGTTTCAGATGTACAGCCCAGTAATTCGACAGTTGGATATAACACCCAGTGCTCATCACATCACATGCCCTCCTTAATGCCCATCACCCAATTACCTCATTCCCCCCACACAACTTCACTCCAGCAAACCTCAGTTTGTTTCCCAGAGTCAAGAGTCTTTCATGGTTTGTCTCCCTCTCTGACTTCTTTCCATTCCATTTTCTCTCCCTTCCGCTATGATCCTCTGTGTTGTTTCTTATATTCTATATTTGAGTGAAACCATATGATAATTGTCTTTCTCTGATTGACTTATTTTGCTCAGTGTAATACCCTCTGGTTCATCCATGCTGATGTAAGTGGTAAGTATTCATCCTTTCTGATGGCTGAGTAGTATTCCATCAGATATATAACACACACACACACACACACACCCCACATATTCTTATCCATTCATCTGTCGATGGACATCCTGGCTCTTTCAATAGTTTGGCTATTACGAACATTACTGCTATAAATATCCTTTCTTGATTAAAACTCTCCACAGTGTAAGAATAGAGGGAACAAACCTCAATATCAGAAAAGCCATATACAAAAAGCCCACAGTGAATATTATTCTCAATGGGGAAAAATTGAGACCTTTTCCCTAAGGTCAGGAACATGACAGGGATGCCCACTCCCACCACTGTTGCTCAACGTAGTACTAGAAGTCCTAGCCTCAGCAATCAGACAACAAAAATAAATAAAAGGCATCCAAACTGGCAAAGAAGAAGTCAAACGCTCACTCTTTGCAGATGACATGATACTTTATGTGGAAAAATCCAAAAGATTCCACCCCCAAATTGCTAGAACTCATACAGGAATTCAGCAAAGCAGCAGGATATACAATCAATGCACAGAAATCAGTTGCATTTCTATATTACTAACAATGAGACAGAAGAAAGAGAAATTAAGGAATTGATCCCGTTTACAATTACTCCCAAAACCATAAGACACCTGGGAATAAACCTAACCGAAGAGGTAAAAGGATCTGTACTCTAGAAGCCACAGAACATTTACGAAAGGAATTGAGGAAGACACAAAGAAATGGAAAAACGTTCCACGCTCATGGATTGGAAGAATAAATATTGTTAAAATGTCTATGCTACCCAGAGCAATCTACACATTCAATGCAATCCCTATCAAAATACCATTGACATTTTTCACTGGAAAAAATGGAACAAATAATACTAAAATGTTTATGGAACCAGAAAAGACCCTGAATAGCCAGCGGAGTGTTGAAAAAGAAAACCAAAGCTGGTGTATCATGATGGCGGACTTCAAGCTACCCTGTCTTATTTTCAAGTTTGAAGAACTTACATTTCTTAATGGGGGTTTGTCTTGTTTTTGTCACTTTGACTGTCTTAGCTCATTCATTCACCTCTCCCTCCATTCATCCTGTACCCATCACCATGAAGCACACTGCAGAGCAGACACATCCCCCCTGTGCCCCCAGCAAGTTGCCCCATCCGGAGGGGGGCAGCCATGCACTGGTGTCACTCCATATTAGTCAAAATGAGGAAGCCCCACAGATGTGTCTTGGGGACACGTGGGTGCAATTCACTATGGTCAGGGGATCAGAGAAGGCAGCTTTTTAAAGTGAAACAATATGTACTTCCCTATAATCACTTTACAAATGAAATTCTGCCTGCTTAAAACCACTTTGGGGTACCTGGGTGTAGTCCTTTGAGCGTGTGACTCTTGGTTTTGGCTCAGGTCGTGGTCTCATGGGTCATTTGATAGAGCCCCGAGTCAGTTAGTGGGCCTCTGGGCTCAGCAGGGAGTCTGTCTGAAGTTTCTCTCCCTCTGTTCCGCCCCCCACCCCCACTCTCTCTCTCTCTCTAAAATAAAAAAATAAAATCTTAAAAAAAACAACAACACCTCACTTTGCCTACAGGCCAACACCTTTTGGTGTTTCTTTTTCATTTTGTTCTTTTTTATGTTTATTTTCAGTGTCCTTTCCATTTGGTCACTTTAATGATTTTGCCTAAAGTAGTGTTTAGATTTTAAAGTTTTCTGAAAGGTGTTTGGCACATTGGAAAAACTTGATATTTTATTTATTCTTGAACACTTTAAGGACTTTTTAGCCTATAAACTGGAACACAATTTCTTTAAAATTTGTACCTTAACAATATATGGTCATCGGCAGTACTCAAGATGTCATTAAATTGTTTGTTTTTACGCACAGCCCTCTGCCTTTAACTCAGCTCCATCACAGAGAGTGTGTGGAGGTACCGAAGCTGCATGAATTGTTACATATTAATTTGCCAAATAGGTATCGGAGAAAGATCGATCGCAGGTGGCATGGGCTAGATTTTACTTTCTGAGGAAATCATCAGACACATGAGTGAAGAAAAGGTTGATATGAAGATGTTTGCCACCACATGATTTTCAATAGCAAACAATAAGACTAATAATAAATGGTTGCTATAAATAAATGAGGCATCTATGCAATGAAATGTATGCAGCTATTCAATGTTATGTCATAATTCATGTTTGGTATGAAAAGATATTCTGTTTTGCTACATGAAAAAAGCAAGTTGAATAGAGTATAGGCTCTATGACACAGTTGTGGGAGACACAGTTGACAGTTACATGCATAGATATAAACAGAGGAAAAGTGTCCTCATTGGTTTTCTGATGGTACACTCACAGAAGACAAGTATTCATGGTGTGGGTTTGTTTTGTTTCTGTTTCTCTTTCTCTTTCTCTCTCTCTCTCTCTCTCTCTTTCTTTCTTTCTTTCCTTTTTTGCCAATCTGAATTTTCAGGTTTTTCTACAATGAATATGTAGACTAAACATAGCCTAAACAGGAAAGCCCCACCTTCAGCATTTTCCATAGGCCTGGCAAAGAAAGGAAGGATGGAAGAAGGAAGGAAGGAAAGAAGGGAGGGAGAGAGGAAAGAAAGGAGGAATGAAGGAAGGAAGGAAAAGAGAAAGGAAAGGGGAGAAAAGGGGGCTTGTTTTAAAATCGGCTTTCCTTGAGGGGCTGTTTGCACTGAACACTTTGGGTCTGGAAGCGCCTGAGGTCCAGGAGCTGAGAGTTCACGAAGAGCTTGAAGGCCACTGGGAAGTTTGTCAGAATTGCTGAAAGAAGATTATCTCCAGAACCTTCCTTCCTTGGGAGAGGTACTGAAGAGCAGGTGTTTCTGGAGGCCTAGGGTGGTGTGGGAAGCGCTGCTCCTCCTCAGCTTGTGGTGGTTTCCCGGGGCTCCTCCCTCGTGCATTATTAAAAGGGCTGAGGCATCCTAGGGGAGCAGACAGATACCACAGGCTCTGTCAGGAGAAAGGAGCATTCTGAGGTGTCCTTTGGAGAGCTGGGTTTCATTCTCCCTGGCAGGACTGGGACTCTCTCCTGAACCCAGCCCTAGAGTCCCCTGCTCTATGGGGAATGGTCACATTCTGGGAAGGGGTAGGGTGGGGTCAGAAGGCCGTTTGCTTCTCAAGCCCCTCCCAGCCCAGCCTCTATCTCCACCTAAGATTTTGTATTATTTCAGAATAAGAGAGTCTACACACTGTGGAGGTCAAGATGGTCCTGAGTGGGGCGTTGTGCTTCCGGTGAGTATCTGAACCTCTGATTGGCTGTGTCCTTTGGGGGAAGGAAGCTCCGGGTAGACCTGTTGTCCATCCTTTGTGGGTAGGGAGGGGCTGCGGCTGCCCAGAGCTGGGGCTTTTGTTGGTGGGTGGGCAGCTGGGAAGTTGTAAACAGCCCCTCATTGTCCTAAGAGAAGTTTTTCCAGCCTTTGTCAGGCTGGGGTTGGCCACCTCATGGGGGTTTCCTGATAAGAGGGGGGAGCAAGTGAATCACTCTGCGTTGAGCTTCAGCCCCACATATCCATAATGAGAATTGAAGTCCGGAGACCCATCCCAGAGCTGTTACCACCCTCTGGGGTGAACTGATGTCACTCTGCTCTATCACACCCATGCTGCCCTTTGGGGCAAAACAACAACAAAACTATTTAGTCAATCAGTCTGTCCGTCCGCTGACATTTACTGAGCCAGGTGGTCTGCTGTGTTCTGGACTTTGCACTACTGAGTGAAAATGGTCTTTGACCTCTCTGAACACAGAGTCTCCCATAGCTTTTCCCAAGGTGTGTTCTGTGGAGCCCCAATCCTATGAGTGGCTTTAGATAGTGGCTCTCCTTGATTAAGAGATGTAGGAAATACTGCATTCTGTGTCTTCTTCTAAGGGAAGCATGGTGCAGTTTAATATATGAGTAACTTTGAACAAGATTTGTTTGTGTTTAGCTACCATCGAACCAATTTGCACACAGCGTACTTATTTCTGTATAACACCTGAAGAAACCCATTTTTGGATATATTTTTCACCTCCCAAGATGTAAAAAAATCAATTGAGATCAGAGATGAGAAATAAATTTGAAAACAAAGCAAAAGAATTTTAAATTTATTATTTATTTTAATTTTTTAAAAAAAGATTTCTTTTATTTGAGAGAGAAAGAGAAAGCACGTGCAGTGGGGAGGGGCAGGGGAAGAGGGAGGGAGGAACTTAAGCAGACTTAGACTGAGTGTGAGCCTAACACAGGCCTTGATCTCACCACACTGAGATCACAACCTGAGCGGAAACCAGGAATCTGACACTCAACTGACCGTGCCACTCGGGTGCCCCAAGAATTTTAAATTTAAAGATATTCATCACTTACTAGGTAGAAGTAAATGTGCCTTGATGTCTTCAGTAATGATTGAAGAATCAGATTTTCATTGGAAAAGGCATGGGGATGATCTAACCCTTGTCTTAATTTGGCCACAGGGAGACTCAAGCCCAGAGAGGGCAAGCAACTTGTCTGTTGCGACTCAGTAGCAATGGTGGCACAGTCGGACAAGAACCCAGCACTCTGACTCACAGTCCAGTTTCTTTTCCAACATCACACATGGAGATTGGCTGGTATAGAGAAGATTGAATAGGGTGTAGGAGCAAATCTGAGACTCAGGTGGGGGGCTGTGTTGTTATTCCATTGGTAGGGTAGGAGCCCAGCAGGGCTGGCAGAGAAGGTTGGGTGGTTACTTCTGGTACAGCAGGAGGAGAATGAGACAATGTCTGACCGTGGGGGACTCTGTAGAGCCCAGCAAGCCCAAGCACCCACCTCTTCCCTAACTGTCATCCTGTCTTGATGTTTCAGGATGAAGGATGCGGCCTTGAAGGTGCTTTATCTGCATGACAACCAGCTTCTAGCTGGAGGGCTGCATTCAGGGAAGGTCATCAAAGGTTTGTGGCAAAACATGACCCAACTTCCCTAGGTCCTTATAGACTCTGAGGGGAGGGGGCCTAGAGGGGACTTAGAATAGTGATGTAAACTGGCCGACAGACCCCAGGCCTGACACAGTAGATGGGGCATCATAAAAGCAGGCTCTGAAAACAGACAAAAAATACTACACCTTCCAGCAAAGCGAGGGCACTTAACGGCAGGCCACCTCAAGCCTCATGCAAAGGTGGGAATCTTTTCCAGGATGAATGCTTTGTTCTTCTCACATAGGTGGACTTAGGCCAAACATTACTTTTTCTAGGAGCCAGTGCTAAAGGCTCCAGGCCTTTATTCCCATGTGGGAGTGACTTTCTATCCCTTTGTCCTGGGTCCCCTCTGCTTTCTGGGGATTCCTGGTCCCTCAGAGTGATGGGACCCCGATAACGGTGGCACCATCTTACTCTTTCTGCCGCAGACACTGTGACAGGTCTTCTCTCTAAAATAGCATATACCTGCCTACTTGGGACACTTTTACTGGGCTCTGGGGCCACCGTGTGTGTTTCTGTGTGTGTGTGTGTGTGTGTACATGTATATAAGCTTGCGTATATCTATGTGTGAGTGTGTGGGTGTATGTGTTTGTATACATGGTGGGAGATGGTATAGAGGGGAATAAGACCCTCTTCTGTTCTCAGGAATATCACAGGTGGTACAAACATGTCCAAATAACTCTGATGAGAGGATTGTCAAGTTTCCAAATAAGGCCAGAGGGTCAAGAGGCATTAAAGGATGTGGCCAGATATCCCCTGGGGCTTGGAGAAAATGTGAAATGTTGAGCCTGGACAAGGGGGTGGCATACAGATGGGAGATGGTATAATGTGCTTACATGCCTTGCTGTCATTGGGCCAACTGGCAGGAGACCACGTTTCCTAGATGACAGCTGTTAACAGGCTTTCCTTCTGCCAGTCTGGGGACAGGATGTCTCATGCAGTTTCTTGTGCTCCAAGGTCCATGATGTAGAGAGAGGGAGGGAAGGGCAGTCAAGGCCCCTGAATCTGGCTTCCTTTCTCTAGGCGAGGAGATCAGTGTTGTCCCCAACCGGTCTCTGGATGCCAAGCTATCTCCAGTCATCCTGGGAGTCCAGGGAGGGAGCCAATGCCTGTCGTGTGGGACAGGGCAGGAACCAACTCTGAAACTAGAGGTGAGTCCTGTTTGGGCATCCTTGCTATCTTACTTCACTAAGCCAGCAGCCCGGGGCCAGAGCTCCTCTCCCTCACAGGGTTCTCTGGATTATAGCCCTACCTCTTCATGCCTGTGGCCCAGCTCTCTTGCCTCCTCCACTCCTTCCCCTCACCTGCCATACCCCTCTGCTCACAGCCAGTAAACATCATGGAACTCTACCTTGGTGCCAATGAATCCAAGAGCTTCACCTTCTACCGGCAGGACACAGGGCTCACCTCCAGGTTCGAGTCAGCTGCCTACCCGGGCTGGTTCCTCTGCACGTTGCCTGAAGCAGACCAGCCTCTCACACTTACCCAGCTTTCAGAAGATGCCAGCTGGGGAAACCCCATCACAGACTTCTACTTCCAACGGTGTGATTAGGGCAATGTACCCCCCAGAACCTACCTGGTCAGAACTGGCTTACGCAGGGGTGGAGGTGGAAGAAGACACTGGTGGCAACCATCCCCCCATCTGCTCTCACGGCCCCACCTCTGGCTGGGCACTCGGCCACTCTCCCTTTTGATTCCCAGTTTAGATAAATCCTTTGAGATTTGGGGGCTTAGATCACAGTTTCTTTCCCTGCTGAGTGATGCTACTCGTGTAGAACCTTGCAAAAACCACTTAAGATAAACTAGAAGCCACATAAAAAGGTTCCCAAGGAGTCAGGATAGGGGGAGTAGTGGAAATCCTTCATGCTTCATGATAACTTACCCAGTACCCCTGAGCCCCACCAGCCAGCCCATCCTGAGTTAAACCTATTAGGGCCACCAAATGCCCACACGAGGTCCTGTCATCCACCACTATGCAGGAGAGGGAGGTCATAGAGTTTGGGACCCAGGGCCCAGCCCCCTCCCTCTTGCCTATAACTTAGCTGCCATCATATTCTACCTCATATTCCATCTCAACACTCATGCTCTAGCCATGGCAGAAGTTGTTGGTGGTGTCCAAGGAACTTACTCTAGCTGAGGAGGCTGAAGAACAACCAGACATGTCATATATTTGAAACCTGAGGTACCACTAAATTCCAAGATGCTGGTATCTCTTCACATGGAAAGATGCTTGTGATATACTGAGAAGAGCAAAATTACAAAGTAGCATATCTTGTAATCTCATTTTTATTAAAAAATGCCTATCTATATATTTCTGCACAGAAAAAAGTCTAGAAGAATTTACTTCAATTTTTGGAATGTCAATTTAGCAATTACAGGTGATTTTTCTTTTGTTCTTTTATTTATTTCCAATATTCTAATCATTCTACAGTGAAGATGGACTCCTTGTGTACTAAGTTAATCTTGAGAAAAACAGAGCAAACACTATTTCTGATCATCTTCAGCATCCACTTCCCTTGGTGAAGTTCAAATTGAATGGAGCTCTGCTGCTCTGGTCAGCAGTGGTGAGAAGCAGCTCACAGACCTCAGCAAAGCCATGAGGAAAGAAAATACGATGAGTTAGCATGGCTAAAATCTCCTGGAGAGGGTATTTATAGAATGAGCAATCCTGGACCCGAGTTGTCACAGCCCCCTGAGATTTCAAGGTGTGGGTTTTAGCCTCCAAAGAGTCCCATGCTGGTTGGAATCCATGTCCTTCTGGAAACTTGAGACTGTGGCCTTATTTGTAGAGAGGTTCTTTGCAGATGCAATTAGTTAAGAGGCCATGCTGTACTTGGGTGGGTTTTAAATCCAACAGGACTACATCTGCAAGAAGAGGAGAGGACAAACAGGGAGACACACAGGAGACCCAGACCTGGAGGCAGAGATTGCATTTATGTGAAACAAGGCGAGAAATGCCATTACTGAGGCAACTTCTTGCTAGGAAGGGGCAAGGAAGAATTCTTCCCCAAAGGCTTCAGAGGGAGGATGGCCTTCTAGTCTCCTGAACTATGAGAGAACAAGTTTTCATCATTTTAAACCACCAACTTGGTGGCAATTGGTTATGGCAGCCCTAGGACATCAACAAAGCTGCTGCTGACCCCATCTCTCATCATGTGTGTGTTCCCTCCCACACTGCACCTGAGCTGTCTCTGTGACCAACAGAACGTAGCAGAAGCAGAAGTAATATTATATCACTTTGAGAGTAGACTATGAAAGAGTCTGCGTCTTCTATCTTGTTTTGTCTCTCTGCTTCTTTGTTTACTTGCTCTGGGGGAAGCCAGCTGCTATCTCATAAGCAGTCCTATAGAGAGACCCATGTGTTGAAAAAGGAAGCCTCCTGCCAGCTGCCACATGAGCATGTTTGGAAGCAGTTTCCCAGCCCCAGTTGGGCCTTCAGATGATGCACCTCTGACTGACAGCTCAATTCCCACCTCAGGAGAGACTCTGAAGCAGAAACACCTAGCTAAACTGGTCTAGATTCCCAACCCTCAGAAACTGAGAAAATAAATGTTTGTTGCTTTCAGTTGCTAAGGTTTTTTTTTTTTAAAGAAGATTTATGTATTTATCTTTTTAGAGAGAGAGAGGGAGAGAAAGAGAGAGAAAGAGTGCATGCAGTGGGGATGGGGAGAGAGAGAGGGAGAGTCTCAAGCAGACTCCCTGATGAGTGTGGAGCCCCATGAAGGGCTTGATTTCATGACCCTGAGAGATCATGACCTGAGCTGAAACCAAGAGTCAGACACTTAACCAACTGAGCCACCCAGGTGCCCCAACTAAGTTTTGGGATCACTTGTTACACATCAATAGATAGCTAATACATAGGGAAAGAGAAATAAATGCACTTATTATGATTGCAATTTTCTCTGATATTTTCATTTTCCTTCTCAAAATCAACATCAACCCTTTTATTCCATCATTCTGTTTAACAGCTGATCATAATAAAGTTTTTGACTATTCTCTGTGCCTGCAAGGTTTAGCTCCTCTTGACTACCTTTTCACCTCTGGTCCAATGTAACTGGGACTGTGACTCCAACATCCCTGCCTAAACTCTAGGTGATCAGAACAAAAACCAGAGGAGAGGCCTAAATCTGAGCCTCAGGTATCCTTCCTGCAACTCCAGTCAGACCAACCTGGCAGGTTCAGATTCTGCTGAGGCACAGCAAGGAGGTGGCCAGACCAGAAGGGTCTGTCTCTGTGGAGCTGCTGAGGTCCAGATGCAGCCAAAGCCCTTGGGTAGCAGACAGCACAGGTCCTGTCACAGGCTTCCCAGGAGTGCTGAGAACACAGGCTCCAGGCACCAGGCTTGTTTCTACAGACCCAGTTCACATTCTCTTTGTCCATGGGCCTAGCCATAGTCTCATATCATCATCTCCTCCAAGAAGCCTTTGCTGAATTGAGATCTCTGGTCATCTTCTCTGACTGTACTACATTGCTATGCCAACTGCCTCTCATTGTAATAATTGATTTGGGGTCTATGACCCCTGAAATGACCTTAATGTCAAGGCTGTATTGATTTTTCCCAAGCACTTCAAATAACGTTTGACAAATACATGGAAACTGGCGAGTACAGAATGTGGAAACTATTCCTCCACCCTGGACTATTCTTTCTCTCTTCTCTACCCATCTAAATGGGCCCACCCATCTAAATGGGCCCACCCTTCAAGGAGAAGCTGAAATATCACCTCCGTCTGGAAGCTTTCTCCTGCCTAAAGTGATTGATTCATCATTTGTAGGATGATAGAATTACAAATGGTGTTAGCAGGGATGAGCTGACATGAGTCAGTAGAAAAAGAAGGAATATAATATGCTACCTTTAGGAATGTATGAGCTTGGGAACCACATGAAAAAGATATGGTGGTTTTAGATTTCTTCAATTTCAATATAAGCCCCCAGCGTAACCTGTATTTATAGAGGTGTAGTGTCCACATCACACTGCATTTGTGCCAAGAATAGGCATTGAGGACTCAGAGTTTGTCCTGAATAGTAGAGAATGTCCCAAGACCAAGTCATTAGGAAGATGCTAGGAAGCTGAAGGTCTTTACCCTGGAGAAGCAATACACAGAAATCCCCATTCAAACACTCAAAGCTCTTCCTAGTAGAAAAATATACTTGTTCTGTGTAATTCCAGGAGGCACAAGCAGGACTGAAGAGTAGAAGTTATGTGTGACCCCAAAATTTTAACCTCAAGGACCATACGCACTGTTAGGGTTTCTTCAAGAGACTGTGGAGGTATTGAAGGAGAGCCTGATTAACTATGTCTCAGGGGTGCCATAGCACAGATTTCTCCCTTTGGAGGGAGGCTATATGCCATGTCTAAAGCCCTTTCAATTCTAGGAATTTTTTTACCCAAGGAGATTCTCTGCCTTTATTGTTTCCAACGTGCCATTGTCCTGCAGATTAGGGAGTCTGGTCTTCTTAATTATCTTCTTAAGTATTTATGACTTAGCTCCCCAGCTGGACTGTAAAGCTGCCTAACAACAGGGACCATGCAATGCACATCTTTGTCACCCAGCAGTGAAAATGCTCAGTAAATGCTCATTGACTGTCTGGCAAAATACCCCATGCGTTGGTCCTTTCCATAGAGAGATAAGAGATTGGGAGGGGGTAAAGAATGATTGTTGGCCTTAGGAAATGGAAGTTGGGTCCCCTTCCCTGCCTATCTTTTCTTACCTTTCACTCTTGCAGCCTCTGTAATGTGGATCAACCTCTCCTACTTTCTTACCAGGCCCTTTGTGGAACTAAGAGTAAGAAGTACAGTAAGGCAGATAGTCTCCAGAGAGCACAGTGTCAAGCTTCTCCACCCCTTATGAGTAGACTGATGGTTGGACAGACAGATGAGTGGATGGATGCACTGAGGTAAGAGATGTTGATTAGAGGCTTGAGTATTCTCTTTACTCCTGCCCTGCTCACACTGTATCATGTGTCCTACTCCTCCAGGACACACGATGGCTGCTCAGTCCCAGGATGGATCTAAGGTCAATGTCTTCTGTAGGTGGGTTTCCTTAAATGTTCTATCTCATCAACCTGGTAACAGCTAATAGGACTTGTTGAAAAGCAGAGAATTCTCTGCCCTCTTTCCAAACAAGGCCATATTCCCAGTGCCATCAGTCCCCTCTCTTTTGTTGTCTCGCTGGCCACAGCCTGGCTTAAAACACCAGAAGTTGCTCTGTCCTTGGGCTCCTTACACACATCCCCCTCTTGCCACTTCTACCTCTCTAAGCCTAGGATGGAGCCTCATGGGGCACCAACGGGAAGGTGATATGAAGCCATCTGAACCCAAGCCTGTTTATCTGGCTATTGAAGCCACCAATAACAGTGTCAATGACAGTAGCTATGAGCAGGGGCCCAGTGACTGGCTTTTGCCAGGGCTTTATGGGTGACTCTCTCCCCCTTCAACAAACACTCATTAATGCTCCCATCTCCTTATTAGCCATACTGTGCTAAAGACATTGTGAAATCCCTAGGCTCTTCTTTCCCATCCTGAAGCTAATTATAACGATTGCTGCAGGCCTGACCCACCCTGACCAGACAGTATAAACTCAGGGCAGATGCCCTGGAGAAATCACTCGGACGTCCCAGGGACCCAGGATTTCAGGTCAGTGGTTGATAGGCAGTATTCAATCTCTCCTTCTCATTTTCCTTCTCCTTTATATCAATATCTCTGGTATGCCCCCTCTCTTAACTCCTCTTGGCAAGCTTTCTAGATAATGAGGTATCCCCTCCACAGAACACTGTGGGATGCTAAATAAGTCTGGGAGCACATAGAAAGAATGCGAGAGAAGGCATAGATTAAGCCAAGTCAAGATTTTTGAACATTTAGAGCCATAGATTTTAGAAAGTAATTTCAGAAGAAATCAGCCAGGCCAGTGGTATTCAATAGCATGTGACGAGGCTTGGGGTTCATTATGTATACCCTGGTGCCAGCTTTAGGGTCAATGACAGTGTTAGCATGGGACTGGTGTCACCCTCATTCTTTGATTCAGCAAAAACAAGTCCCTTTTATCCATTTTCCTTTCATTAGGTTTCCATGTAAATTTTCATTGTGAAACTTAGTTTTGAAAAATACTGGTCTTACCCAGCCTCTCATCCTAGTGATGACTATTTGGAGGCCCAGGGACTCAAGAGGACTTTCAAAGGCAGCAGGGCCAGTTGGTAGCAGAGCTAGGTCTAGAACCCAATCTTGCCATTGAATTCTTCTGTGTGCATTTCTATGGCCCGCTTGTAGGCATATATTTGTGTCGGGCTGGTTGGAGCTCCACCCCACACTTCATGGATCAAGATATTGTTAACTTTTATAAGGGAAACAAATGCTTATATATAGAACAATACACCATACAGAGAAATTTAATAGGAGTTCAGCGTAGGAGTTGCAAGGATAAAGGAAAGATACATAAAACTCTGAGTTATGGAATCATAGATTGTTTGATCTGGAAAGAATCTTAGTAACCACAGATTTTAATTCCATGATCTTATAGATGCTGATTTTGAGAATTGAAGGTGAGGTGACATGACCTTGTATGTCTGAGCTGTTACTCTGACCTGATAATTAATTTGGCAGAGCTAGAGACTCAACCTATTGATAAATGATACCATATCCAGTGGCTCTAATGCCAAAAGACCTGAATGGTTGGCAAGGACGGGGGATGGCTTTTGAGGGAGGGAAATCAAAGACAACTCTAAGCATGCCCACTGGGAAGATAAGAAAGAAAGCATGTGCCTGGAGGGGTAGTTTGGTGTCCACGAGATATACTCATACAAGTGTGTCAGGGCCGGATGATGATAAAATGGGCAGTCACTGTAGACTATGGAGCTGGGTGGGGATGTTGTGAAAGCAATACCTAGAACACAGGTCCAGTACCTCCCAGAGGTCGGGCTGGATTGAAGGTAGAAAAGCCAGGAATACAGGCACAGGTACAATGGCTATTAAGAAGACAAAGTTACATTTCAGGGGCACGTGGGTGGTGTAGTTGGTTAAACATGCAATTCTTGATTTCAGCTCAGGTCACGATTTCATGGTGGTGGGATTGAACCTTGCCTCAGGCTCCGTGCTCAGCATTGAGTCTGCTTGAGATTCTCTGTTTTTCTTCCTCTGACCCTCTCACTCATGCTTGTGCTCTCTCTCTCTCAAAAATAAATAAATCTTAAAAAAAGGACAAAATTATATTTTAAAGACTAATTTATCGAACTTGCTGGTTAATCAGACATAGAGTAAGGAGAAGGGGGGAATGAATAGGCTGGGAGGAGGAGAAGATTGATTTGACTTCTGATCTATTTAGTTGGGTGGGATGGCAGGAAGTCCAAAGGGAGGTGTCCTAGGGACTGTTGGAGATAAAGAAGCATGTTCAGTCGGGGCTTGGGAGGCTTTGGACTAAGGTGGTCACTGCAGCTGTGGCAATGGATGAATGGCAACTCCACGGGGGTATGACTGAGAAGTGCTTAGAACTTATACTTGTGACTTCCAGCCTTAGGGACACTGCCAAATGGAAGGGAGAATCTACCTGGACCTGGGAAGGGGAAAATGGAAGTGTGAAGGGAGTCAGTCAATGTCAACATCTCTGAGGAGGCAGAAGCCAAATACCAGAAGAATCAAAAGAGTCTTTAGATTTAGTTCCAGAGAATTTAATATTGGCCTTGGAGAGAGCACTGTCCACATAGAAAATGTGTAGAAGAACAAGGTGGGGGTATGATGGAGAAAGCCCAGTGCTACTTGGGTGGTGGTCTTTGACTCAGGACAGGTGGACTGATGAAGTCTGAGACAGCCAGAGATGGTGTCCAGGGAGGACAATAGGCCAGAGTCCAGGGTAAGTTCACTTGGGGGGACTAGGGAAGGGAAAGCTTAGGGGAAGGAGGGTGTGGTGCATTGGGAGGGACCATGACAGATTCTCAGCCCCAGGACCTCAGGCTCTTTGATGGAGTAGAAGCTGGCTTTTCACTCCAATTCACTTCATCGCAGTCTAGCCAGAACCCAGGAAGGGGGTGCCTGATATGATGGTCTTTGAGAGAAATACTGGGATTTGAGGTTGGGCCAGGACAGGAGGCTTCTAGGGCCTCTGGAGATTTAGCTGGACTGGACCTGCCCTAAATTTCTGCCCATTCCTTATGTTCACACTGACCAGGAATAAGAATCATCATCCCCACTAAGAGACCTCCACTGTATCTGTCCATGCCAGAACTTGGCATATTTGCTAGCCTGCCCATTATTTTTGCAGCTATAACCAAAGGAACACCAGTAGTTTGGCTGAGAGAGAGCACGACAAAGTGTGCTTTCACTGAGGCGACACAGCTGGTGACCTGGCTGGGCTGGGGATCATCTATCTAGTACTTTGCTGCTCAAAGTGTGGCCAGGGACCAGCGATGTTCATATCACTTGGTTGCATGTTTGAAATGCGGTCTCAGGTTCCAGCCCAGACCTTGGGAACCAGAACTGGCAGGTGATTTATATGTTTCCTGGAGAGTGAGAAAAACCGAGATGGTGTACCAGTTCCCCAACCTATCTGGTCGTGGAGTCATTTCAAGCCCTGGTGAATCAGAACCTTCATGTGACTCTAGGGCCTGGCTGGGCAGTGGGACAGGGTTTGAGCTTAGCTCATCCTCATACTGGGAGGCTGGTGCACAGCCCACCTCAGTCTCAGCCCCAGGAAGTACTCCTGTCTAAACTCTTTGGAGAACCTGTTCTCTAGTTTTCCCAAGCTAGCACTATGATGGCCCCAAAGGAGAGTGAAGCAGAGCTGCCTGGAGCTTGCTGGGCTGTGGAGACCATGGAAGATTCTGACAAGCCAGTTATAGATAAGCAGTCTAGAGAGATTTTTCTACCCTGTGATTTGGTGGTTTGGGGGTTTCCCAGGAGGTCTGCTCCCCAGCTCTACCCACCCTTCTCTGATAGCCCTTCTCTCCTTCCCCCTCAGCAGGACAAGTCGCCCACAACCACAGGAATGTGCTCCCTCCCCATGGCAAGATACTACACGTAAGTCTTCCTGGAGTTCTCACTTTCTGAACCAGGGGTCTGGGGATGATGTGGGAAGACAGAAAGAAGGCTGAGGGGAGGGAGGTGGCTCCTTCTCATTGAGAAATCTCAAGTGTCTCATAATTAAGCTTAATCATCACCATTATAACAATAGCTCTCTTCCCTGACCATGGATGCCAGGCTTTCTGCTACCTTGGATGCCAGCCTTTCTGCTACCTTGCCTCCCTCCTGAGTAACCTACAAGGAGGGCATGACTGAGTCCATTCAGATTTGGAGACCGAAGCTCAAAGGGGTTAAATAAATTACCGCATGTCACACAGAGCCAGGATTCACCCTCTGTGCTGCTCTGTCCTTTCCCTAAGAGCTCAGAGATAATTTTGAATCTCAGTGATGGCATCTTTATAGGTTGGCCTCTGTGGCCTTTCCTCCCTATCTGCACTCCCAACTCCCTTTTACCTCATTTGACATTTGAGACTTTCCTTATAGGTTACACTTTATAGCCTGTGATTTTTCACTGTAAACTGCCTCCAGCCCTTTGAGGAACGAGATGAGACATAAGGCGAATAAAACAGGACTGACTTCTAGGCCACATTTCCTCAGCTCCTCCATGGGCCTGCCCTGTCCTAGACACCAGGGGGCTGGTTGGGGCCTCTGGAAGTTACAATGTGCCTGAGAGGACAAAACACGTGTGCACGGAGTACCCACGTAACAAGACAGACGTCAGCCTTTTGGGGTATCTCACTTGGGTTCTGGTCTCCAAAGAGAATGTTGCCCGCAGATGAATTTCCCCCGAGCCCTGGTTGTCCAGGTTGGAGAGGGAAGGCTGGCTAGCAAGCCCAAGCTCTTTCCAGATCCTTCTTTTTATTAAACCAGTGAACCTACTTCACATACATATAATCATTAGCTAAGGGTAGTATAACTAGCTGTTATTGAGAAAGAAAAAATCTCCTGGAGGCGATGGCGTTGGCCCCAAGTTTCTGCCCTTGGGAGATCGGGAGGGCTCCCCAGGTCCTGAGAGCAGCTGACAGACATTTTGAAACCAGCCAAGCCACTGAGCTAATAACCTGCGTGACTTTGATGTTGCACACACTCTCCGTGGTTTCCTCCCTGCTCCCAGCACGTATTTACCCTCCCAGGCTGATGGTTGGAACCACCGCCAACCCCAAATGACTGTAATCACGCCCTGCTCTGGCTCCTCACCAACCTCCTAAACTTGGCACCCATAATGCAGGGCCGCCCCAGAACACACCTCACATGGAATGGGGTGGGGGCATGTTGGCACACCTGCTGTCACATAGGATATACTTTTTTCCTGATTTGTGTATTTTGTTCTATAGAAAAGCCTTTAAAATATTTGAAAAGCACACCACACTTTATTTTTTTCAAGATTTTATTCATTTATTTATGTTTTACTTTATGTATTTATTTATTTTAGAGCAAGTAAGCGCAAAAGGAAGGGGCAAAAGGAGAGGGAGAGAGGAGCTCAGGCAGACTCTGTGCTAAGCACAGAGCCTAACATGGGGCTCGATCTCATGACGCTGAGATCAAGACCAGAGTGAAAATCATGAGTTGGACGCTTAGCCGACGGAGGCGCCCAGGTGCCCCACAAACCACACTTTATTATACATCCAAGTAATCCTCTTTGCTGAAGAAAATGAAACATTTTTGTGAAACTGGGTCAGGCCCAGAAAAACTGGGATAAGGCTCACTATATCCTAGAGATGTCTGAGCCTCACTAGGAAATTTCTCAGGAAGGACATGAAAAGGGAGTAACATAATCAGGAAAACTTTGTCTGCCCATCAGTGAGAAGGTACTAGCTTTCCTCACTGCCCCAGGGGCCCTGACCAAAGCCAACCCTGGTAAATGGAGCCTCTGAGAATCACAAGTTCCAGAAGACCTTCCCTTGCCTTAAGGCTGACCTGGTTTCACTCGCTCTTGGGTGGGGTCACGCACCTACTTCTCACTTGTAGGAGAAGAACACCTGAGTGCTCTGTGTGGTACGCCAGAGCATGGAGGTGGGAAGACTTTGGGGCTTGGCGGTGCCTGAAGGGAGCAGGCCATCAGCGCCACTGTCTTGTTACAGAATTAAGGATGCGGATCAGAAGGCTCTATACTTAAGAGGCGACCAGCTCCTGGTGGGAGATCCCAGTGCGGACAATTGCTGTGCTGGTGAGCTTGTGGGGTGAGCATGTGGGGTCCCCCTCCCCTCAGACACACCCATGCTCCACCTGCTGTCAGCTCTCCCCTTCCCTTCTGCCTCTGGTGACAGTAAGAAGAGGCAGAGAGAAGCTGAGGACCTCTCTTTCTGAGGGTGTCATGACCACTGCAGGGGTCCCAGTCTGCCCAGCAGCCTCCATGCAGGGGCCAGGCCAGGTATGCCCTGGCGCAGGTCTTGTCTGCCCGGGCTTAGCTCACTGAGAGCTTGCCATCTTGGTCCTTTATCTCTTGGCTCTCTTCTCTCTCTTTCCTCCCAGAGAAGATCTGCATACTTCCCAACAGAGGCCTGGACCGCACCAAATTCCCCATCTTCCTGGGGATCCAGGGAGGCCGTCGCTGCCTAGCCTGTGTGGAGACAGGAGAGGGGCCTACCCTGCAGCTGGAGGTGAGAAACCACACTGTGTTCTGGGGGGCCCTGTGGACATGGCCTGGCTTCCAGGGTGCTCTGGCCTCTCAGCACTCATTTGTGGACTCCCAGCGAGATCCACGCCTGCCTCCCCTTCCCTCTGCACCTAGTGCCAAGACCCCTGCCTTCTAGAACCTGCCGGAGGCACTGCCCTGGGTACAGACCCTCCCTGTAAAGTCCCTCATTGCCCCCCCAGGGGGCTTCTAGGGCTGATATCTCAACCAGTGGCCTCATCCTGCAGCAGCCCCCTTACCCCCACAGGATGTGAACATCGAGGACCTGTACAAGGGTGGTGAAGAGGCCACACGCTTCACCTTCTTCCAGAGAAGCTTGGGCTCAGCTTTCAGGCTTGAGGCCGCTGCCTGGCCTGGCTGGTTTCTCTGTGGCCCAGCTGAGCCCCAGCAGCCAGTACAACTTGTCAAGGAGAGTGAGCCATTGGCCCGCACTGAGTTCTACTTTGAACAGAGTCGGTAGGGAGGCAGGAGGCTGAGTTCCAGGCTGATCCCCCAAGGCAACCTCCTCCTGCTCAGGATCTGTGTGGTAGGCAGAATAACGCCCCCAAAGATGTCCACATCCTAACCCTCAGAATCTGTGAATGCTTTACCTCACAAGGCAAAAGGGACTTGGCAAACGTGATTAAGGTAAGGGTCTTGAGATGGGGAGATCCTGGATTATCCCAGTGAGCCCACTGTAACCACGAAGGACCTCATAAGAGTGAGACAGGAGGATGAGAGCCAGAGACTAGAAAATGCTATGCTGCTAATTTCAAATGTAGTGGATGGGGGCTACCAGTCAGTGAATGCTGGTGGTTTCTAGAAGCTGGAAAAGGCAAGGGAAAAGGTTCTTCCCTAGAGCTTCTGGGAGAAACAATTGAATTTTAGTCCAGTGAAACCCATTTCAGACATCGGACTTCCAGAACTGTAAAATAATAAATGTGTGTTGCTTTAAGCCACCAAATTTGTGGTAATTTGTTGCAGCAGCAGTAGGAAATTAGTATGAGGCCTTAGTAGGCTCCTGTGAACAGTGTTTAATGAAAGGTGCATGGGTCACTCGGTGTGTTCTTGGAAGGCTGCCCACAGCTTCTCCTGTAGCCCATCTGCTCCAGAGCTTCTAGAAATAGCCAGAAGCTGCAGGAAGAATCCACCTCTTCCCCTCCCATCCATGCATGGACAACATCTCGGGCTGCTCACAATTGTAGTTCTAGTTCAAGTCTTGTGATTTGCCTATCAGATATTTCACAGTGAATATCTCTTTCAGCTGACTGACCCATGCCACTGGTTGTCTGCTAGTGGATGTGTGAGGAGCAGTAAGGGAGAGATGGTGAGTTTGTCCTGGGCGTGTTGAGTTTAAGGCTGTGGTGAAACTGATGGGCTCAGGTCAGGTGACTTGTCCCAGCCAGCAATACAGGGCTGGAACTTGGCTGAGAGTTTGCGAATAGGACTGACACTTGTCCTGAGAGCCTGAATCCCTCTCCATTTCACAGACAATCTGGGGTCAGGAACAGGCTAGGGCAGAGAGCCCATGATGTCGGTGCTCAGAGCAGTGGGCTGCCAGCCCTCTTCCTCCTTTGTGGGACTACTCTGCGTCCATCCAACATGCACGAGGGGCCAGGCCATTCAAGGACAGGTTGTCTTCACCCTCAGAACCAGCCTGCAAGGCAAGCTTTTGTACCCATTTAACAGATGAGGACACTGAGCTAGAAGGGGTGAAATAACTTGGGGAAGGTTGCATGAGCTGTACATGAGGGAACTCAAGGTCATCCTGGCCCATCTGACTGCAATATCATTCCACACATTTTTATTCCACTCTTATTCTGGGAGTTGGGGACAGGCTGGTAAATAAGAACAAGCTTCCCTGGAGGTGATAATTGAGTGGGAGAAACACTAAACAGGCAACTAATCAAGGAAGAAAACAAACAAGAGCAGTTTACATGATAGAGTGTGGGTGGGGTAGCTATGGAATGACTTGGGAGAAGCTGGTCAGGGGAGGTGACTCTTTTTGGGGAGCTGACCTCTGAGCTGAGGCTGAAGGACAGGAGCGAGTGGGCCTGGGAGTGACGAGGCAGAGGAATAGGAAGCGTGCAGGCTCTGAGACAGAAGGGGCTTGGTGTGTCCAAACAGCAGTAGGAGGCAGGGGTGTTGGAACCTGGAGAATAAGGGAGAGGGTTAGGAGGTGAGCAAGACCAGCAGGGGCTGGGCCATGGGGGCCTTAAAGGCAAAGTGAGGGCTTCAGTTTATCTTTACATGTGAAGGGAAGTTATGGGAAGGGTTTTAGCAGAGGAGAGACATGCTGGCCTGACACCTTTAGTAAGTATAGATTCTTATCCTGCCTCCCCATGGCCTGCATATGCCCTGATTCCTTTGTCACCTGGCTTTCAGGTCATACCTGTGTGTTTATGTGTTGAAGCGACTCTGTGCTTTTGGAGGGCATGTTCTGTTCAGTTTTAGGTCACCAGTACCCAGAGTAGCTGCCGGAACACCAAAGGTGCTGAAGAGGTAGAGTCTCGAATGGATTAGCGGATGATCACTCGGGTCTTGCCGATCATTCAGGATTATACAGTGTAAGGAGAGCCATGGTAGCAAGGTGGATGGTCCCCACTGTGGGACAGAGGCGGAGCTGGCGGAGAGGGCTGGACAGAGCTTCAAAAGCGAAAAGGCACTTAGTCTGGGCCTCAAGGAAAGAGTAGTTTCCCAGGCAGAGAGGGTGGGCCTGGACATTTCTAGGCAGAGAGAATGATTTGGGAGGGCATGATGGAGAAGAGCTCCTAGCACCTCTGGGATGTGATGAGGCATCACGTGCTGGGACTCAGGGCTTGTGGCTGAGGAGTTGTTGAAAGTGAAGATGGGAAGTTAGGTGGGGCCTGGCTAGGAATGCCCTGTGAGGGAGGTTACCTTTATCCAGGAGACCTGGAGAAGTCATCCAAGTATTTCAAGCAGGACCTGGATTTTAAGCCTGGGCCTCTGAGGTCAACATTGGACCAACCCAGCTGCTACGAGGACCTCACCCATCTTCCTCTTCACTCCCCCTCTCATCCCACCTGCCCTCTGTTTGGTAATGCCCTGGGATCGGCTTTGGTGCTTTGGTTCCAAGGTTTACTTAGCCCTGTCACCTCCTCTTGCCTGCTCATCTCCTTCACTCATGGGAACTCAATTTGATCCAACTTGGTGCAGGGCCTGTGGCTGGGAGGAGGACTGGGTCTGTCTGGATGGTCACGAGCACAGTTCATAAGAGAAAGGTAAATTGGATCAAGTTCTCTATTTAAGTAAAAAAAAAAAATTCTTTTTGAACATCTAATATATGCCAGTCCTGTGTTAGTGCTTGTGAGATGAAGAGGACACAGGAGATTTAGGAGACACAATACCTACCCTTTAAAGGTTTAGATAGTGTAGTGTGGGGAAACTGGACGTCAGGAATAACAGCTGACCCGTATTGACTGCTGTCTGCAGAATGACTGGAAGACACTTCAAACAGCACTCAGGGAGCCTTGGACTGAAATTCTGCTGGGTTCTGTTCCTAATAATGATGGGATATTCTGATGCTGGGATTTAAGAGTGGGAAATGAAAGCAACCTCTGACATATACAGCTCAGAGCTGCCAGGAATGTTCTTCCTCCACCTCCCAAGACTTGTTTTTTAAATTCCTCCTCCTCCCTGGCGACCACACCAAAGGTTTCATTCCAAAACCAGCCAATCAGAGCTGTGACTGTGTAAATTTCTGGGAGAGGCACTCTTTAGGTCTCATTCACTATGTACAACTGGTAGTTGGGAGCCAGAGATCAGTAAACAAGCGATTGGAAGACAGTGTCATAACCTCTTATTCAGGCAGCATCAGGGAGCCGGGCTGGTGGGGAGGGCAAGTGGTCCCATCCAAGGGGGTTTAGAGGCAGTGAGGCATGCATGGGGGCCAGCCAAGCGAGGGGCAGAGGGAGCTCTGGGAGCAGGTCAAGACATTTCAGGCAGAAGAGGCAGCCACATGGCTGCAGGAAGTCCTGAGTGTGGCTGCGTGTGTGTGTGTGTGTTAGTGTCCATGTGTATGTGTGTGCCTGTGAGCACGTACGTGTGCACACGTATGTATGGTGTGCCTGTGTGCGTGCATGAGCCGGTGTCCGCATGTGTGCCTATGTGCATTGTATGTATGCATGAATGTCTGGGGGTGTGCTCTGTGTCTCTACAAGAGGGGCCAGACAGCTGGGCAGCTGTTGATAAAGGACCTTGTCTTTATTCCAAGAAGGCTTGGAGCAGCCTTAGACGAGAGAATAATGTGTTCAGGGTTTCCTGTAACCCATGTGCCATTCCAACCAGGATTCAGCATCTAGTCACATTTACCTTTTGACCCCAGTTTTCATCTCATCCCACTCCTGCGTTTTATCACAGCCCCTACAAACCATGGCTTAAAACGTTGGACACAAACCCCAGGCTACACAACATATGGCAGTTCTAGGCACGTCTAAACCTGGATTCAGGGAGGGAAATAAAAGCAAGGAAGAAGTTTCTAACGGGAGCCAAGGTTTCCTGGATACCATTCTGCTAACATGTACAACCGCTTCTTCAATGAGCACCACAGAAATGAACAAAAGTGAGCGTAGACAGAGAAGTGAACATCTCAGAAGCACTGGCATTTGAGTTATTTGACAACATTGCCGGTTGGATTTTACATTTGTGTAACTAAGAAGGTTCACTAGCGATTCTGCCAAAACAAAGTCTGTGTGTCCTTAAAGCAAATTCCAAGCTCTGTCCCTAAAAGACACAAACAACTCCAAGCAATCCCAGATTCAGTGCCCAGAGTCCATCTTCTGAGGCCAGCCGCCTGCAGTAAGGCCTTTGGGCTGCAGGTGGCAACAAAGATCAGCCTTCCTCACTGCGTTTTTGAAGCTTCGAACCCGCGCAATTTAATTCCTCCTGTGCTTGGTATCCCCTGTGTGTGAGCCCCTGTGCACCAGATCTCTGCCTCCCTTCCAATAGATGTTTCCTTCTCAAACGATGTGTGAGCGCAGATCCAAATCAATTGAAGACGTTATGGAGCTCCGAATGCTCCTTCCTTCTGACAAGTTTCCTGGCACCTTCTTAGTGCTCTAGGAGCTTGGAGCCTAGGAGGGAAGACAGATAGTAAATGCATACTCACTTCTACTCCCTGTGTATATATGGGAAGGAGCAAAACATGTATGCCTGATCCCTTCTCCCGGGGACACCAGTGCCTCTCTCATACTCATCCACTCCATCCCCCTTGAGACTCCCCCCAAGTTCTGATCATAGAAGTAGAGTGACAAAGAAAGGTGGAAGCCGGGGCACCTGGGTCGCTTAGAGGGTTAAGCCTCTGCCTTCGGCTCGGGTCATGATCTCAGGGTCCTGGGATCGAGCCCCGCATCGGGCTCTCTGCTCAGCAGGGAGCCTGCTTCTCCCTCTCTCTCTCTGCCTGCCTCTCTGCCTACTTGTGATCTATCTCTGTCAAATAAATAAATAAAATATTAAAAAAAAAAAAAAGAAAGGTGGAAGCCTGGAGTTCTGGCAGAAGCTTCTCCCACTGACACTTTCCTAGGGCCCATAGCCAGAGGACCTGAGCTAAAAAAAAAAAAAAAGAAAAGAAAAGAAAAGAAAAAAGTCATGGTCCTGTGACCCTGTCTACTCAGAGGATTAGAGACTCAGGTATCTCCTAGTTAAGTATTTTCTAGACTTCTTCCAGG